TGCGGTTATAAATTTCTTCGAAAGTTTTATTAGTTTCTTGTAATACTACCGACATTTTTTTATAAGGAACATGATTAACATCGCACCTATCTTTGATGAATTCGATTATGTAATATATGCAACGAAATTAAAAATACGGCATATAGAAATGATAAATAAGTTGTGGTCTTGAGAGGAAAATGAAAAGGGAAAACATTTTCATAAGAATTTACGGTTAGCTGAATGAGGTAGACATAGTAGGCGTAATCCATCACAAAGCCTTGACCTTGACAATTCTATTAGAAAAACAACTACCTAGCTGTGGTTATCATACTTTGCTAGCAATTTAAATTTAGTAAATAATTATAGTTAAATAAATCTGAAATCTGGTACGAATACGCATAGTCCGCTACACAAAAGATAATCATTTTAAATTCAAGTATTCCGTTATGATGGCTTCGTATATTTCGATTATAATATAATATATAATATTATAACCAAAATATCTTCTGTCTAGCGGACTATGCGTATTCGTACGAGATTTCAGATTTATTTAACTGAACAATGGAAAGATGTACATGTGGAAAAATGCATCTTAGACGTAAAAAAACGATCACCTCTATCCATGTCCCGAATTTACGGGTGCATTGGGCTGGAATGGAGCAACGAGATCGTGCCAGGATTAATAAAAAAAATTATTCGCCTAGTCAGCCGAGTAGTAAAGTCAAAGAATATCCGTGAAATGACATCAAAGCTTTATTTTGAGAGTGTAATCGTATTAAATTTCCAACATCTTGATTTGCCCTTGAAAACTTTGAGCAATGACAAAGTCGAACAACTAGGAATTAAAATGGGTATACTTTTAAGCTTCTTTTAATTACTGAAAATTCTTTTAAACTTATTTTCACACAATCATCGTTCGTTCGGCGTGTTAAGTAAATTACAGAGAAGTGTTCTCAAGATTGAGAAACCGGAACCAATGCGCACATCTTGTGTTTCCTTTATTTAAATCTCTATTGTTTTGTGTCGGATGTCTCTGTAAATTGGGATCGTCCTGCAATTACTGAGCATGACGTATAGGTGTGGGAACTATAGATAATTTATACTTGTATACTTCATAAGCTCATATTCTAACGACATATGTGCTTGTTTTCATATATAACGATCATCGATTATAACTCTGTGCCTCCAGTGAAAAAGGGAATTACTCAAAATCGACACTTTTCAGGAGGCAAAAAACCATACTTTTATTGATTATTGGTTGTTCGCATTTATTATTAGTACTTTTTATGATTTCTAGCTTTAGGTATACATCTAAGCTTTCGTTTGATGGGTATTGGTAAAAAATTCAATCATATTTTCTATATTTCTTTAAGTTTTTTTCGAGTTGCGTTCTTGTTTATGAATCCTTAACGGTAATAACACGACTTATGTTAACAAACTTTAAGACATAAAACGACTTTACTTCGACTGCGACTGTTCTATGGTTATAACAATACTTATGATACTAACCACATTGATAAAATATATAAAATCGGTAAAGGAATAAAACGACAAGTTTTCGTTTGTGATTTATTAACCAATAGTAACACGGTATAGTCGCGGGTATGACCAATCGTGTCCAGTGGAACAAACGGAAAGCTCAGTTATACCTTTATGGACATTGTGAAATAAGGTAATAGTCGCTTTTAGTCCTACTTATTTTCCCCGTCATTATGGAACAATACGAAAAGTGTCTTTATATAAAAATATATATGCAGTTATTCGTTAAAACGTGCATGTATTTTTTGAGTTGAGAGCACTTGTACCTTTAGACTCCCAAATGCCCGATAACTAAAATGATGCCTTTAGGAACAGTGAGTTATGCCCTTAGTGCAATAAAAAAACGACTTTAGGTGACGGCTTCCTTTTGATATGTTGAATAATGAAAACAAAAAGGCATAACTCGTCTTATTCCGTTTTTCACTGGAGGCACTGAACTCTTCTATTACAGCCATGCCATTAACAATAGGGATTATGAAGTGTTCGCATTTGGGGTGAAGAAAGTATATCCTTAATAACTCGTTATCTTTACAAGTTATCTTTCATGATTTTGAGACTATGCTTACGCGTTACGATGGCACACATGGTCAACGCCCAACTTTATTACATTCAACTAATAACTTTATCAGCAACTCCATTATCACTTTACGACTGGCGGTAAATATTTTTTTAACAATGTTGAGTCAACATTCTTGGGATTTTTTTACATGGCGTACTATTTTGTGCAGTTATCATACTTACCTAGGTTAAAAGTACACAAATTGTAAAATATTCTCAAGAAGTTTATTTTGAAATTAGTGCGATGATATGCCTGCAGTTATCGAACAACTATGTATAGTCACCTTAGAGTGAATACCTCGTATGTGATTTGAATGTATTGTTTCAGGACGAACAAAAAAGCATACTGTACAATATAGTAAACACATGTTGTCTGTAGTTGGCATTTAAATTAGTTAAATCATACCTGTCTTGGATGCTACATTACTCTAAAAAATATATATTATTTAAACAAGTTTTGCTTTAACAAAAAATTACTTAAAATGTGTAAAATGCACAGCCGTGGTTTTCACTCTAAGAAGTATGTAGTATCATTTACGTACACAACTTTGAAAAATGAGTGAATCCATTACAAAATTTTCAATTATTATGCGAAAATAAATTTAATTAAACACTTCGTTTGTTTGACATTTTGTAACGGAGCCAACAATGCAAATCGTTCGAGTGTGTGTGTACATTACAATAGTTAGTATTTCGAAACTGTAACTCTATTATCGTAGTGATCTCAACCATTGATAAAAGTTGAAATGTGCCAAATTTAAATAAATTAACGCTAGTGCTTAAATAACGCATGGTACGTTACGTTTTTTTCCATTTCCTATGCCTTTAGCTAAAACACACACATTTTATGACAATGGATGGGTAATGTAAACTGAAATTATTTCCATTTAAACAATAGGGTTTCTAAAATGAAACTGGAGAAAATTCCTAGTCCCTTATTAGAAATAGAACGTCAGACGTTTTCTGCGATTTTTCTTGTGGTTTGTCAACGTAGGTAGAACGACTGTGTGCCAATGATATTATACTTGTGTGCCGTCGAGTCGTACTATAAATATTTATAGATGGCACTCTTAGAGTCCGCTGAAAAATAGATTCGTTGAATTTTTGTCGCTAACCAAATTTTCCTCACTTTGAAGGTTATTTTAATAAATAATGTTACTTGAACTAGAGAACTTCCTAGCGAACACGAGTGATGAAATTTTTAGTTTGAAAATCAAATGCAGCAGTGGCAAAATATGGATACTATACTAACAATTCAGCCAACATTACCAGTAGCTATGTTTACTATCCATGTCCTAGACAACAGATCACGTAACTGACTATGCTAATACTATTCTAAACGCAGATATACGTTGCATCTAATCTGTTAATCACGTTGTTCGGTTCCTATACACGTCAGCTGACAAGCGGTACATGGCGAATTAAACCGTCCAGTCCACCACGTTGTTGGAATCTCAATAGACGTGACTAAGCTATAGTCTGCTGCATAAAGATCTCCTGGCAATTCCAGTTATGTATGGACAACGGCACATCAGACTACACATTTTTGTTCGAAAATCGCCTCCATTGCAACGGAACAAGATACGTCAATGTGTAGCTTGATGTGCTGGCGTGTGTGCATGTTCATCCAAAATTCATAGAAATAATACCTCAATATTTTCAGGGAAAGTCGATCGAGACCTAGTGAGAGAATTCAAAGAATTATTTTTTAGAAATATTTTAAATAACTCTTATAACTAGAAATTCTGGTGGAAAGACAGTAATTGTTTATATGCGTATTTTAAAAGTATCGTTAATATGCGTTTTTTTCCGTGTTTGTGTTTTTTCATAAGCAGAATAAGGGGAATTTATTGTTTGCACAGCCTATCTTGGCAAACTGTCAAATATTCTCTGTAGAAGTCATCAACATCATTCGTTGAACATCTAATAGGTATAAGAAGATAGTTTTCAATGTTATGTCGGTAGGTACAAGGCTTGCCGTCACACGTGATAATGCCTCATTGTATATTCGATTTCGCAGCAGTTAGTACTTCTCCCAAAATAAATGACTGCAGTTTGCGCGACTGCAGAGTGTTGCTACACAGAAGGTCATCGTGGGTAACATTCAAAATTACGCGACTGATAAAAATTTCTATAAAACTTCAACCATCGACGAGCAAACGAACTAAATTTGAAAAAGGCAATTTATACCCAGGACATACATCATTTGAGTAACTAAAACTCAACTGTGACCAGAGTGAAGTGCTACTTTCAAACATGACTTGACTTCAAATACTAAATTCATGATAAAGTTCTTTAAAGCATTTTTTTCACAAAAAAAAATACAGTTTTTATTACCACTCCGGCAGATACTATTTCTTACAGAAGAATTTCTTACAAAAGAGAAAAAGAAGTCTTTTAACACATGTTAAAGTTTAAATGCGGCCAAGGATGATAAATATATTGTTTGAAACTTTCAAGCTAAGTATGTCACGAGTTGTGACTGTTGAGAAGTTATTACACCTCCACCTGACTCACTGTGGTCACGATCCTCAGAGCTTAGAAGACTTAAATGTTCTATTTGTATAAAACTTCTTTTATAGCAGTGGCTTTACGAATTATTCTAACTACTGAAAAAAGAACCTACGAGCTGTTAAACTCGTAGGTTTCAAAATAAGGAACAGCATAATTTTAGCAATTTCTCAGACCACCCATACAATGTAAATCATTGCTGACACAGTAGAATCTTGAGCATGATTTAACTATATAACGAACGGAGTTAACAAATTTAACTTCCTACATCAATATTGAACGTACATGATGTCATCTCAAAATACTTATGAATAACTCAAACAAACCGTACCCAACGGAGAAACTTGTTTAAACATTGCTATCTCATTGCATATAAATCTTAATCTAATCTTGGACGTTTTCCATTCTAGGCACTCGGTGGACTCGGTCGCGTCGTATTCTAGCCAGAATCACGTTGACCGAATAAGGACGCAGAATTTCTCAGCGGCTTCTTGTCAAGACGAAGACTTCGGCTCGATCAAGACAAGCCTCTTCAGACGGTCGTCGTCAAACTTAGAATGTCCGCATAAGCGACCGGAGAGCGTAACCTCAAACACAAGCTCTACAAGAAGCCGCCTTCGAGAACTTGTGGAAAGAAAGTCGAGTCAGGAAGATCACAAATCCTCAGCAAACGCCGTCGGCGATATCCAATATTTCGAGAACCCGACTGAAACCCTTGAATTCGATAGACCGCGCAACTCTTTGGAGAAAAAACAAGAAGATCGACCCAAAAAGAGAAAGCTTTCAAAAAACAAGGAAAAAGACAAAGACATCTGCGAAAACAAAAACAAAAAACACGAAAAATATCAGAGCAAATTAGCTGAATTTTACAAACTCCCTGTGCAATTGCCTCAAGACGAATTCTATCAACATTTGACAAAATCCAAAGCGGCGGAAGAACTTTTAAAAAAGCGGTTCACGAATTCTGATACAGAGTTCAGCGGCAGCTACGGTAGATTGTGCAAACACAAAGAGCCTGAGGGTTCAAACTTAAGACGCAGTCGTAGCTTGGCAGTAATCAGAGAAGAAACTTTCACTGATCTTCAAATACAAAACCACGCTAAGAGCAAGAGATCGCAGCTTATTCCGCGCGCTCGCCTGTTCGACAAGCCTTGCTTTAAAGACAGGTAAACATAGTACCTTGCTATACTTCATCATCCATTATCGTCTTACAATTCATCAAACTACATACAACAAAGTTCGATATTTTGTTTAAATTAATCTATAGTCAGAGTCAATTTGTTGATACTACTTTGACCAACCTCATGTCATTCACAGAGCAAACGAATAAATTCATTATTCCTTGAACTTAAAAACAAACATGAAACAGTTGTCTAAAATTAATCTAAATTATTTTATTTTAAATTTCAGGTTAATTGGCCGAGTCAAGCATCAGACAAAAGAAGAAGTTTTGGAGAGCATTTACATCGATAGCACCGCTTCGTGTTTCGGTGAAATTAACGCTCAAAGAGAAAGCGAGAAAGTAGATAGCCTTGAAAATAAGTCTCAAAAAGAAGACGCAACATCAAGAGACGGAAGTCACTATTCGAAGTCCGTAAGTGGAAGTTGGCCAAATCTAAATGAAGAAAACAAGCAAACACGACTATCTGAAGACAGTATTGGACATTCCCGCAATCCGAGTGACATCGATAGTTTAGATTCAAACTACGTAAGAAAGCACTACAACTTTGACGCACATCGCAAACACTACAAAGATAGCTCTCCAGACACCGAAAGGTCTATTACTTCACCAAATCATAGTAAGGAGTTATACCCAACCACCGACGATCACGATTCGGACAACGAGGACAGGTCTAAAAATAACACACCGAAATCTTTCACCAACGACAGCCTATCGATTACTCACAGTGACAAAGACAAAACGGAGCAGGTAGAGCCGCATGATACAGATGTAGAATCTTTCGACGAAGTATCTATTCAAAGTAAACAAAGCGAAGCAAAAGAAGACGCTGAACCAAAGGCGATATCTAAACCCACTGACGCTATAAATGAGGCTGACATACAGTCAGTAATCTCAGAGAACGACGGTACAATATCAAGCCCTCCTGACAGTATTACTTCATACATATCTATATCGATTGCGTCTTCTGCAGACAAATCTCACAAACTGGAATATTTAGCCAATTCTTTGGCTGAAAAAATTGATGAATATTGTGATTCTCAATTTAAAGAAACTATATCCATCACCTCGAATACTGTAAATTCAGAAAACAATCACCAAGAGGGTGACCCTATTTATACAAAAGTTGATAAAAAGAAAACTTTCGCTGACATTAGGAGAGATTCGTTTTTGAATAAAAGCGGAAACTTGTTCAATGAAATTCCAAAAAAGAAAAATAACGAAATTTATGTAAGCAATACTTATATTGAAAGTGACACCTACTTAACCAAAAGTCACTGCGCATCAAAAAATATAACTACAGAGCCCTTTGTAACAACACTTATTGAAAATCAATACTATTCTTTACCTGATATCAACATTAGTAAATGCTTAAGAAAATCTGAAAGAATCGATGCCCAACTGAGAGAGGAGGATCCGGAAGATATACCTTGTGAAAATACATATGAAATAGCCCAAACACATTTTCGCGAAATTTTGTCTACGAAAGGAACCGAAAATTATGGTCAATTAAATAAGACACCTGTCAACAATACCATTACTACACATATACAATCAAATCCAAATATATACCCGACAGCATATTCAGAACCCCAAATAATACAGAATTTCACGAAGCTTGAAGACGATTTGAAATCAATAATTACTATAGAAAGTTCTAACCCCAGCGAGAAAGACGCCAATTACTATCGCTCTAGCACACACCAGAATGAACGAGAAATTAATGAAATAGAAGGAACAATACGTAATAACAAAATTATTACAAAATCCGAAAGTTTAAAAATTACAAACGCAGTGTATAAACCTGAAATATTGAAATCATTTTCTAACGATAACATTAACAAATCAATACAAGATAAAAAAGCACGGACTGGAATAAGGAAACATTATTCACTGCGGCAACGAGATCCAACAGAAGATGAAATACACCGTATGCCTAGCCCTGACACTGTAGCAAGAACTTTGAACAAATCAATTGACGCTGCAATCACAAACTCTCAAGTTGATGAACTTAAGACTCCACTAGTATCAAGAGTGCAATCTTTCAAAACTTCGGCTGAATCAAGCATTGCTATTATACCACTAAGTGGACATCAGACTATTATCATAGACCCACCATTAAGTCTAGATTCTAAAGAAGCTAAAACGATTGCTCTAAATACTCCGATTGAAATAAAAACAAACCCAACCGTTAATACAGATTTAATTCCGAAAGTAGAGCTTGTAAAGAAAGTTATAGAGCCGACTATTGAAAGGAAAGAAATTAAAATCTCAAGTTCTTCTATTGATACTTCAAGTTATTATACACCAAAAGATCCTTTTATTACCATTAAATTAAATAAGGTAGTAAAAACAACATTACCAAAGCTTAAAGCGAGTGAAAAAATTGCATGTGTGCAACACAAATTTGAGAAGCCACCGCAAAGGCTAATAATACACGACAACAAAACCAGCCCAACTGTACCAGTTGCACCAATTAATAAGACAACCGCAATTGTAAGTATGACACGCCCGCAAGTTCTTCAAGTGGTAGATTCAAAGAGTAACAAACAAAGCCCTCCTGTTAACATGGACAAAAATAATGGTACTGACCATCAACCTATAAACAATAATAAAACTGATTTGATTTCTGAAACAAAACAAGACCTTAAAGAGCCTAAAACCGAAAACACCGTTAAAGAAAAACTGAACAATGCTATAAAAACTGATATTGAATATCAGGAAAAGCTTAACTCTGTCAAGAACTACTGGTCAAGACTAGCAGATAAAAACCCAGAAACGAGGGAGACTACTAAAATATTAGACACAAAAATGAAGACTGAAGACTTGAACAATAACAAGAACCGTAATAATGCTATTATAGAACATCAAACCAATGAGCAAGAAAGTGATGAACTCCAAAGTGAAGACAACAAAACTACCCCTGAAATATCAGTAGGTAATATAATCAAGTCCTTGGAAAGTGTTAAAATTGTGGACAGTATACGTAAAATTAGTCAGACGAAGTTACAACTCTGGAAAGATGAAACTGAAAAAGTTAAAAGTGACTCAGAAATAGAAGAAACTACCTTAGAGAAAATTGTAAAAAATACGGAAGGAAACTTTTATGAGAAACCAAAAATAAAAAAGGAAGTTGATTTATGCAGAGATACTCCAGAAATAGAAATAGTAGAATTGAGCTGTGAGGATAATCAAAATAAAAAAACACAAGCAACTCTCATAAAGGCAGGTGGTTTTGACAAAGAAAATGATGAATTTGATCATGTTCGTTACAAAGTTATGAAATCGGAATTATTCAAAAACAGTATGATAGCAAACTACAAGAAGGAAGCTCAATTTGATGGTTTGTTACAATATTTGCAAGACTACAGTTTTCAAGAATTGTTAGTTAACAACAACATAGTCATAATAGAACCAGTGAGGACAAAAATTGAACCAGCGCCAAGAAGAAATGTTACAGATACTTGTAAAATTCCTTCAACATTGCTAAAGAAATCTGAGAATTCATGTGGACAAGTAGATAGATCAAAAAATGCTATACGACGTCATTTCTTCTATCATCCAATAAGAGTAAATAAAGAAATCATAGAAGAAGAATTACCAAATCCAGATACAGTAAAGAAAGTTCGAAACCTATTTGAAGATACGTTGAAAATGAAAAGCCCAATGACACACGATCCTCCACTTATCGATGACGTCGGTCTTACAAGACGAGCTACTTCTTATAGAAACTTAAATGAAGAAACTAAAGGAATTAAAATGGGAGGTAGAAAGAAGGTAATTCGACAACTAACTATTGACACTAACTTCGGAAAAAAGTGGGATAATGCTAGTCTTTCAAGTGGAGTATCAAGTGGAGATCTCAGTTCCAACAACGAATATGAAACGGACGGACTAAGCCCATATACTCATAAAAATTTAAAGGATAATGTTTACAGCTCCAGTGATGAGTACCTTTGTGATTCCGTGAGCCAAGATTTTTGCTGTGAAAGCCAATATGTCAGTCCCGATATTTTGAAAAAGATACGAGAGTGTGGCACTTCGATCACTTATTATGGAGGCAAAGTATTAAACTCCAAAACCGGATCAACTGTCAGTCCGATGACTAAAGCTATAATGGATGAGATTAAAAGCTTACAAAAAAACTGCAGCAGAGATTGTTATTCGTGTCAAACGAAATGCCGAGGTGACAAATGTTCATGTCTTATTGCAGACAAACATAAGCAAATGGTTGCCGATAAGCAAAACTCTGCGACATCCTCTGACTCGGGAAATCAAACTCACGACAAAAATAAACGCACAGAGGGCTTTCCAGGCTTCAAATTTAAACTCGTCAAATCTAACAGTTGTAGCAGTCGCCTGGAATTGACGGGTACGGATGAAAGTAAAAACCCACGACTTAAGTACAGAAAGTCACCAAAAGGTGAAGACCCTCCTTTAGTTTATGACGACGAAAATTCAGTGAAAAATAAAATTTGCAGATTAGAAAGCTATAATAAAGGTATTGCCAAAACTCCGTTTGAAATTAAAGACAACGAAGACAAGAAATTAAATGTCAAAACTACAGTTTGCAAAAAAATAGAAAACTCACCGCAAAACACTGCTATAACTGAAATGGACAATGAATCAACACAAACAGAGCAAGAGAACAAAAATTTAATTCAACCAGAGAGAAAACTGAGTGATTCACATGCATTTGAAAAGAAATTTTATTATGTAAACGATACCCTTGATCAGGGCAAAGTGACGACAGGGAAATTTGGAGAAATGGTTTTTGAAGAATTCGAGGTTTTGGAATCGTGTTATGATAGTTTAAATAGTAATAAGTCATTGAAATAAAATAAAAATATAGTAATATTAAAAACATAAGCTTTCGCTTACATAAATTGTGATCTGTATTCGAATAACGCTATTAAATTATTGCTTGTAAACATAGTAACGATATAAATATTTAGCTTAAAACATGTATCTACGAACTAGGTTAGATTTTATTCATAATAACGTAATGTAGCTAATAACATTTCGAAACGAATTGTATGTAGTCTTGGTGATGGTCTCTTTATTCTTTGTAATAAATAAAAAGTCTACGAGAGTCGTTTCATTCTTGTTTCTTGGAGCTTACCGTCAGATTTCTCGTGGCTGACTTTGGAAGGTGACTTGGATCGATGTGCGCATACGCCTGTGAAGAGAGAGCGGCGGGTTGGCCGCCACCTTCGACACCATGACTCCTGAAGATAAATAAGGAAATCAAGGCCTAGTGAAAATTATGGGATTGTGCGATATGCAATTCTAGATAACTATTAAAACTATAGTATATACTCGTAAACTGATATAAAGTAAAATCATTATTTCTTATTTTCAAACAATTCGATGAGTAAGTGTCTAATAAAAACTCACGCACGGACACTCATCACCTGACGAATACCTTATCTATCATTGACTCGAATTAGAATAGGTACGTGTATGAGTTATAAAATAAGTTACGGTCTTTTAGATCATATTAGTAACAGATAAAAGATCATCATCTTTATGCGTTCAAATAAAGCATTACGACGAGTGTTTAACGATATGTTGTAAAGTAACGAGAACGATACAATCTAACCTCAACCTATTATCAAACACGGTACAGAATAAACCAGTCGTGTTTGGAATTAGTATTAGCTGGTTTATAAACCTATCCATAATCCGTCTAATACTTGGGTCTAAGGACGCGTTCCCACTATGTCGTCACGTTTTATTATCGTTGGACGACTGTCGTGTCTATCCAGTTCCCATATCAGACTATCTGTCGTGGACGATATTTTATCGTTGAACGACTGTCGTGACTAGCTGTTCCCACTAGATCGTGACGACAATTTATCGTTTTACGACAGCTTCCTTGTCGTTTGCACGACAGAATCGTTTGATGCACTGCAGTCGCTTGTATCTTCTTTTGGAAGCCGGTAGTGAGTGTTCGCTCGAAATGGATGAAGACGAAATTTTATTAATGTATTACTTTTTAAAAATGCGGAAGAGGAAGCAAACAAAGAAAATATAACGTGACGTATAAAATAAAACGTGACGACAATAGGAGCTGCGACAATCTGTCGCCACGTTTTTATCGTGACGTTTTTTTTTTCGTCTGACGACTGTCGTTCTAGCTGTTCCCACTGTGACGATAGTTTGTCATTGTAACGATAAAACATCGTGAACGACAGTTAACCGTGTCATGCTATATGCGAACAACTTCATTTAAATATACAAGCCACGACACTGTAAACTGGACGACAATCTGTCGTCACGACATAGTGGGAACGCGCCCTAAAGTCTAGCGGTACGATGAATTTGGCCGCGTTCTTAAATTAAATTGCACCTACTGAATGAATAAGTCTGTGTTTTTTTAATGCAAATATAAAGTACATGTGGTTTGTATGAGGGGGGAAATGACGTATTGTATCGTACTGTGCAGCTAAAGTCTTCCCGTGGTAGATAAATCGTACAATGATTATCGCCGTAATCATTCCTTATTCAAAAACAGGCAATACAAGCAGACAATCATGCAAATTATTATTTGAAGCAACTTGAGTTTGGAAAAGGGGTGTTTTAATACAATAAAAAAACCCTGGATATTTTAAAAGAGTAGGGTAGTCAATTTTAAATACGGCGTTATCTATCTATGTTATTACTAATAATTTAGTAATTAGTGTGCATTTAAGTGGTTAGATGAACTCACACATAAACCTTAATTAATGTGTACCTATTTGGTAATTGAAACGGTCTGATATATACAATACAGGACTCAGGTCAGTTTATACAGAAGGAAGAACAAAAGAGCATAATTTAAATAATATTTTTCAATTATATAAAAATTTATATATAGTATTTGGAAAAGGTACAGGTACAGTATTGGTGACATGCAAATAAAATATACGTAAAGAGCTTACAATTCACATTACTTACAAATAAGAAGGTAAACATAAGTAAGTGTTGAACTGGTTTAAAAAAATGACCAGCTGGCACACTATCTGATACATATGTTGTTATTCGGTACACAAGTTATTTGTTGATTGATTGATTGTTGATTGTTGACATGTGACACTTCAAATTTCATGTTTTTGCAGATTTTTTGTGATATAAGTGTTCAATACGTAGGTAACTACTTCAAAAGATTTTTAAGATAAAATAAGGACGGGCCTTGAGATTAATGAGTTGATACAAATAAAGAAATTATGTTTACTTACCTAAGTAGTTTAGAAAACAATAAAATGTCTAAACAAATACAGACTTTGCAATATTTTATACATAGTCTTCTATGTATAAAATATTGCAAATATAAAATATACAATATAAAATAATGAATAATTTATTTAATTTTCCTGTTTTGGAATATTATTAGTTCAATAAATAATGAAATTATTTCCCTTAAACCAATAAATACTTTATGCTTATCAGAGAAGTAAACGTGACATCATGAGCATGCTTTGGTTGTCAACTTGTTACAGAATATGGTAACACAGCCCAGTTAATTTCTTATCAATTAACATTATCATGCATTGTTCATTAGGGTATGGAAGAAGTTTGTTTAAAGATAAAAAGTACAGCGAATATTGAAGTACAATGTCGGGTATTTTACTTTATTATGAGTTCATGTTTGAATTTGTTTTAAGTACTTACCTAGTGTTTGCAAAATTATAATTAATTTAATTAATCAAAATTTTATATATCAAAAAAAGATCGTGTAACCCTCACACATTAATTACAAAAAGAAAATTCGATAACAGTTTGGCGATGAAATCGACGAAAACACTAAAAAAAATTTAACTATTTGTTAGACTCTAAAAACACGACAAAAAACAAATGAAACGACGTTTGACAGCTGCATATAGATATAACTACATAATATGCACGTGCTAAGAAAGTATCGTTGGAAACAGCAGTCTTATATGAAAATGAGCGATGTAAAAGTTAAAAAACCGTTAGTTACTCACCCTGTTATTGGAGAAATCCCTAAAGATCGGTGATAAACACAAACCACGATTTATATCTAATTTTGCTAAAAGTCGGCACCTAGAAACACACACGGTTGACGCCATCTTTCCACTACGTATGTATATGTAAGTAAAAGTCTAAGTATGTATAGCAAATATCCACCGGTTGCCCGGTTAGCCTGCTGCCGCCGGTCGCTCTGGCGCCACAAAACAAGGAAACTATTTCGATAATTTACCCAACGATCATTTCTACTATTTTCTAGGGAAAATTTGAGCATTCCCAAAACATTACAATATTTGAGCTGCGTACGTATCACATAAAAATACCTCTGCATCAGAATAATAAAATTTTTGTAAATCCAATAAATAGTTAAGTAAAATTTTGCATTTACTTTAAGAAATACATTGTTCAACAAAAATTAAACTTTGACACGCAATTACGTAGCGATTAATACTAAATTAGAAAAACGAGAAATGGTAAATTCATCTTTGCCGCTATTTTATTTATCAGGTTGACAGCTCTGCGTTTTTTAAAAGATGCGTTCACTAAAGGTGAAGTTTCCAAAGACAAAACAAATTATTCATTCATTCAAACCAATTTTGGAAAAAAAAACTATGAAAAGGTGTTTGTGTAGGAAAATGATTTGCAATGGTTTTCGCGTATACATTTTGAGAAACGTGTTACTTCAATCATTACAAGAATGAGATTACGACATACTTGCTCATCTGAACATCTTGCTAGACTTAATATAATACCTGATTCAATGTGCGAATGCGAACAAGACATTATTGGCAGTCTGAACCACCTTTTCTTTTCTTGTGCATGATATGACCGTGCTTCGTTTTTTCAATCTATAATTTGTTTACAAATTCCTTTACCAACATCTATTCCTCTGTTATTATCGTATAATAATTATTCCGTTTACAATGTTTTGGCTCAGTTTATAAAGAAAAATTGTTACGGACACCGAGCCATACACTCCGCGCCCCGCGCCCCAACTGAGACCGCGCCGCCGCTCCCCGCACCCCGCACACAGCGTCGCACTGAGTCGCCGCCCCCTGCACCCCGTGCACCGCGCCGACCGCCACCTCGCCGACATCTCTACTAGATTAGAGAGTTAATTTAGTACTTAAGTAGGAACATGTTGAGCAATAAAGGTAGTGATAGTGGTTAGTAGTCAGTGTTTCATTTGCGATCCTGATCTCGAGAAGAGCAAGAACCCCATCGATCCAGATCAAGAACCTGAACAAATACTGTCCACCGAACGTTAACGATCCTACGAGAGCTATAACACCAACAACCTTTGGTCCTTCGAGCCGGATTCGAGCAAGTACCAAGCCCGGAACAGTGAAGACCGCTCGGAACTTCGTATCCTCGCAGCCCAGTGGGCTGCGAGGATACGAAGTTCCGAGCCATTTGAACCGAACAATAGTAGTCACCAGGAGCCAAGATGACGCTGCAGACCAGGATAAGACCACTGAAGAAATTCGAGTGGAGCACGAACGTTTGCGGAGATTGGCATTGGATCCGCCAGGGTCGCCTACCGTGGCGCCAACCGAACGTGGAGGCTCATCCCTACGGGGGGAGGCCTACGATCGTCAGACGAGGGAGCTCTACGAACCCACCGCTGGACCTTCAACTGCTATGGACCCCGCAGCCCAGTCATCACGACTGAGGTCCCCCGCATACTCGCAACGATCGACAGCGAGTGTGGCGGCGCGACTACGACTGGCAGACTTGAAGCGGAGGAGAGGCTAACGGAGATTCGACGAACCGAGCAACAGCTGGAAGCCGAACTTATTAAGAAAAGGTTAGCCGTGCAAGTGGCGTCTATTCAAGAAGAGGCAGAGAGCTTGCGCGACTAGCCGCTCGCCACCGCTGAGCGAAGGGTGGACAACTGGTTCCGCAATAACCCGGCGCACGTACGGGGGGAGCGCGGCGAAACGCTCACCACGAGTTCGTCTCGTCCGTTCGAGGGGCTCCGTCCAGACGAACTCACAAGCTGGAGCAGTGTGTCGGGAAGCCCGAGGTGATCATCGACCGGGCACTCGATGAACTACGTAGAATGCCCAAACCGGATGCGTCAGCTACAGAACTGAACACGTTCGCCGTGAAGCTTCAGAACGTTGTCTATGTGCTGAAAACCATAGACAAGCGTGGATTTCTGTACAACCCACTGCTGGCTCGAGAAGTACTTGACAAGTTGAGCCCGCACATCCAGTCCCGCTGGTGCGACTACGCCGCAGATCACGAAGGAACAGCTGCCCCAGAGATCGTCGTGCTATCACGCTTCCTTATGCGCGAGGCCGACAGAGCACTGCGCTATATGTACTCGCCCGCCGCAACGACGAGGAGAGAAGTAAGACCCGCGATAGTGAAGAGGAAGGTGAACGCCGTGTACACTGCCACGGAGAACGAACAAACGGAAATTGCGGCCAACCTCACGCGCTACACCGGTGCCCGTCCTACAGAGCACTCCGTATTGATCAGCGCTGGAACATGGTGCGAGAGAAAGGAGTGTGCTTCCGATGCGTCGAGAAACGACACCGACGCCAATTTTGTAAGGCGAAGCTGTGCGGCGTGAACCAATCGCCGCCCACACCACCCTACTCTGCACGAGAAACCGAGTCAACCCATTGCGCAGCCTGCAGCACCCCCACAACGCCGCCCTCAGTGACCCCACCGAACGCGCCGAAGCACCACGAGTCCGTGCTGTCACTGGGTACGCTACCACCGAAAGAGAAGGAAGTGCTGCTCAAAGTGGTTCCAGTCACTGTAACGGGACCACTGGGAAGTGTGGAGACACACGCACTGATGGACGAGGGCGCCACAATAACCCTCATCGATGAAGAACTGGCACAGCGCATCGGAGCGGAAGGACCCTCAACACCGTTGCGCCTACATGGAGTGAATATGACGCGACAAGAACATCAACAACAACATCAGAGCCGAACCGTCAGTTTACAGTTGGAAGGATGTTGTATATGTAAAGCGGCGCGGGCGCTCAGCGCTCCCCCACC